CCCCCCCCCCCGCGGTTCGACTCCCCCCTGCGCGCGGTGAGCGGGACCACCAAGCAGCTGCAGCACACCAAGCATCTGCAGCGCCCAGCGCAGCAGCGGCAGCAGCAGCAGCAGCATACCCAACGCCGCGGCAGCAGCAGCCGCAGCAGACCACCCAGCGCCAGCAGCAGCAGCAGCAGCAGACGACCCGGCGCCTGCAGAGCACCCAGCGCAGCAGCGCCCAGCGCAGCAGCGGCAGCAGCAGCAGCACCAGCAGCAGACCACCGGAAGCCCAGCTAGCTTTCGTTCACCCCCTCTGGCCTCAAGTCTACACGCCGCATGGTCCGCATGGAATGTCTGTGATTTTGTGCAGCACAGGGACTTTTGTCACCAGACCGGTCGAGACCGACCAATGCGTTGCAGGGCAGAGTGCCGTGATGTTACTTTGCGTCTTTTTCTGTCACGTTTTCGAGGCCTGGAAGATCCAACCACAGGAGCAAAGTATTGTTGGTTATGCCAAGTTCACTTTGCCTCCGGGTGCCTTGGATCTTTCTTTTTTGATCCCATGTCCTAGACTCAAGGGCCCAAGGGACGATGGATTTTTTTACCGAGGCAAGTATCGGGGCATCTCGTCTGAATTTTTGCAAGACGTTTGGAGCATCCAAATTCCACATTTCTTTGGAGCAGGAAACCTTTCGTTTAGAGGCTGAAGACGGATGTCATTCAGAGTCATAGTTTGCCTTGTAGGCGAGCCCCAGATAGTTAGTGTCACAGTTCATTCATGGTTATTGTGCCACTCTGCAAAGCTGAGGATTCATTGAAATTAGAATCGAAGGGCATCCTACGCGAATTCTGATACCAGTCACCTTGGGAGTTGTCAAGGTAACAGGAATCAAGATCCTTGGCCACTCATTGTCAGAAGTGAATAACGGGCTGACGTGGTCACTTTGTCCCAGATTTGAACTGAGGATGATGAGCTCAGTCGCTCCTTTGTTCCAGATGTGAACTGAGGATTTCCCCTGAAATCGTCGACTTCCAAACCTTGGTCTCTTCTGTTCAAGCAAGCTGCTTGGCCGAGAAGGCTCCGAACGCTAGCTGGCCTAGAAGACCTCCCCGACTTGCGGGTAGTATGGGTGCATTCAGTCGTAAAGCGTTGGCACATGTTGGCACCACAGGCGAAGACAACAGAATGTGACACAATTTGCATAGCTAAGGATCCATTTGGCTCTCTGTGACAAACCTGAACTCGCAGCCGATACAACTGCTGTCTTTGTTTGATCCAACTCAGATGCTGAACGACAAATTATTATCATGGGCCTTTGGCGAAGTGCTTGTAGTTTGTTGATGTTTGTTGCATTGCTGCCCACCACCGTGGACAGGTTAGAGCACTGTTTAGCATGCCATGTACGACTGACACCTTTGAATCTGGTGTATGTCCACCTCATGGCAATGTATGCGAACCCTGGATGTTGTAGTCACCAGTCAGTGCTTTGGAGTGCTTTCCGACGCGTGGGAAGAGTAGTGAGGCTCTAGCTATTGAAGTGATGTCCATATTTCCGGGAAAGATGTCCCCAAGTGTTTGTCAAGGTCTTTCACGGGGACAACACCATACTTGTCGGCACGGACTCAAGACTGACGATATTCGATATCCAGGGAAAAAGATTTGTTACGTACTTTTCCATGTCAGGGGTTGCCAGTTGTTGAATCGAAAGTCTAGCCTTTGGATGTATGCCACCACCCGCTTTCCCAGAGTGTTTATTTTCAAGAGTGTGCTTTAGTCGCAGGTGAACCAACCATGTCCCGCTAAGGAATCCCAATCTCCAGATATCGGGCTTCGATCATAAGAAAGGTGGGCAATTGAACTATATACTAGATTGTCGGGCTTTGTGCTTTAGCTTTAGCGTGACCATGCACACCTTCAAAGGCTAAACACGGGGATTCAACTCTATGTCTCGTGCAACTGCGGCAATGTTGGCAGGAATTAGCGTCTCTTCAGGGTCAATGGTACGATTTGCAAAGGTGACCTACCACGGTTCAAGGGAAGGCGCTGTTCACGGAAACTTTGCTCAACTTAGAATTAATAAACAAATATATATATATATACACTGATATTTCATAGATTTTGCGTCCTTTCCCTCAGCAGCTGAGATCACAAAATCACAACACATTCATGTGTGCTGAGTTGGTGGGCCCGTTCTTTGCAAGGTAAGTTGCAGCTCATTGTGAATGATACCGATGCTGTATCTGCGACCCTGGATGTGCCATACAAAGCAAACGTGGCTCGACCTAGGTCAGTGCACTGAACATTTTGTCCAATCCACGTTCTCATTTGTCGTAGGCCCCGAGTCGATCAGAGAAAGCCACTCCGGTCTTTGGCTCTGAGATTCAGTGTTGCCAGTATTGTAGTTGACTGTGATTGAGGTTTTATATGGTTCCCTTGGAATCTTGGATGCGCAGAGTGCTGGCTGCACTGTTCCAGCAAGATCCATTCCATTCTGACGCTTTAAGGTTTCATGAATGACAAGACCAAGTTTCTTGCCACACCTGGCCGTGTGACATCTACAATGCGCGCGATAATGGTGTCGAACAACTTTTCCGATGCTTGGATGCAGCGATGATGTGCCATGATGTAGTGTGAATAGTTTTGAACGCGGAAATCATTCCGACAACTTAAGGGGATGATAGGGGATGCAAGGTGGTTGACACTAGAACGCGAGAATGCATGTGTTCTTTGGTGCTCAGGTTCCTATATTGATACGCTCTGCAAAGATAGACGCAGCTTGTCCTTTTATTCACCTGCTGCTTCTGCGTTTTGTTTCCCCAAATAGACTGTTATTATTGGAGCCCACAAGGATGCTAGCTTCAAGATCTCACATTTTCAGCCTGACACCGTCTTGCAGCCAGGGGAGGCCTGGCTAGATGCATTTTTGTTGTTTCAATCTATTCAGATTTGACTTTGACCATTGTCTATGGCCCCTTTCTTCTGCATGCTGTTCAGGCCGCCTCCTTGATGCATTTAGAGTACACGTCCAACGGGAGCAGTGCCTGTCCCCCAGTGCTGGCGGCCCATCGGTATGCAAGTCTTGCAGGCTCCCATGAGTTTTGCATTGTTTTGCGAGGCCTTGTGCACCAGGGACTTAGAGCTGGCCACAAATGTGACTGTCGGTGCCTTACTGTCTTACAGTCTTAAAGCCTGGATCTTCAAAGCTACTTGAATGCCACAGGCAGCTGACCTGAGCATGCATGAAAGTAGTTTCGCTTCCATTTCACAGGCGATGAAGATCCCTCTTCAAGTCTACCATGGAAACCTCCATTGCCAGGCAACCACTTTGATTGCTCAATTTTGGCCTCACTTCTGTGATGTTCTGTGCATGCACAGTCCTTGCAGCTCCAGTGTCCAGTAGAGCTTGGCGATCATAGGTGAGTGACATTGGTCAGTGGCCATGTGTCCTGGTGAATGTGTGGCCATGTGTCCTGTCATGCCAGATGGAACATGGTGAACTTCAAGAATGCAGTGCGGCTGCCAGCGCTGGCAGCCTCGCCACATGTCGATACATGAGACATGTTCATGTGTCCCTTGCAGGAGCTTCTTGCACAATTTGGGTGGATGCTACGGCTACAGACTGTTTTTACTGCCCACCGCGCAGAGATGCTAGATAGTTGAAATGCGTTCACGTCATTTTTTATAAGTCTCGCCGCTGCCAAAGTTTGAACGAACCAAGGATTTGGACTTAGGGATTCTGAGCGTATCAGAAGCACGCCGGTCACGATGCTTGGCATTGTGCTAGACATAGCAGAGAAGACTGAACCTTAACGCAGTTTTTGTCAAGTGCTTTTGCCATTTTTCACACCCTTTTTCGCTCTCAGGGCTTAACATCACGCCTCCAAGCTGCATTCAGCCCTGCAGGTTACCGTGATCTTCCATTCTGTTTTTTCATGGCTAGAAGGTCTTCGAGCCACTAATTTGACTATTTTGTAAGTGCCTATGCAACCCGTGCAGTTGAGAGCAGACCTTGCACAATTCGACCTGAATGTACCACTGAATGTCACTGAGGCCAAGTCTAAGATAACAATAGACAAATTTGGTTTGCTCCGCAACGATGGAAATCAGGGTCAGGGTCGTAGCTACGCACTTTATTCTTGGTGCTTTTGAAACTTTGAGAGTTTGTCACGAGCCGCACATGCCAAAGCTGGCTGTGGCATTTTGTGATCACATTTTTACACATGTTCCTTTCTTTCTGGTTGCCCAACCTTTAGTCTTTTGACCAAAGGCCTCATGAGGGTCGGGAAGAACCAATTCTGAGGGTTACCACCACCCACTGTGTTGTCTGGCCCGAATTTTGGTTGTGCTGAAGGAACCTCAATCCGGTCAACGTGACGATTGAGAGCTTTAGCTTCAGTCACCCGAGTGTGAGCCTGCACATGGATGGCATGTACAGTCCGCAGGCTAGACTCTCGTGGTATCCTGACGGATTTGTTTGAAGATAGCTGATTTTGCTTGCCTTTTTCCTTCTTTATGGAAACAGTTGTTTCTCAATGTCCAGCCTATGGCCAGGGGATTCAGACACGCGGATCCAGGCCAATCCCAAGGCAGTCGAACACAAAGAAGGCGCAGCTGACACGCACACACACACAACTTGTGGAGTTGTGGCCGGGTGTGGACCTATAATTCCTTCCAGCATGTTTGTTCTCCATTCTGCGATGTGCCCTGAGGTGCTGACTCTGCAACCTGGGCATAGGTTGGCTCTAACCTTAGAAGTTCTTGAGAAGGACAGAGATGTTCAGACCCATGTTTTGTATATAGAGTGACAGCATGATTTGATCATACCCGGGGCTGCAGGAGCCTACAGTTGCCGGCGGGCCATCTGTGATTCTGGCTCGGCATTGCGCGTGTTCTTTTTCTTGGAGAGGGGGAGCCGGGATTTACCGACATTTGGGCAGTGGTGTGCTTGCGCCTGTTGCATTGCAGCCTACTACAGCAAAGAAGCGTAGATTACTGTACATAATATTACAATAATATTACATAGTTGTTGGATGTTTCTTGGGCACATCTGAGGCGTTGCCAATATCATCCAATATCTAACTCTGACTCCACTGAGGAACGCCAGCGTGCAGCTGGTCACCAAGCGAGGTGAAAAGATTACCATAAGAATCAGGCAAGGGCCAGGAACAGTTGAATCAAGCAGGCAACTAGAGGTAGTTGTGGCATGATGCAACATTGTACGCACCAAGCACTTCGTTTTTGGGCTTTTGAACCCAATGGTCCGCCCATTGATTATCAGTTGGCGAACTTATGAAGTGATAAAGACTCATCTTCAGACTCGAACCTCCTTGCGCCTTACTTAGTTCGTTTTCCTCCTGGGTAGACTGGACCAGTTGATTCAGTTCAAACGCTTGCCAGTGGCATTCATTAAACGTCCTGTTACGGACACTTTGCAGAAACACGCCCTCGGTTGCAAAAGATTTTCTCATGCAACTGTTTGCACGATGATACCTTTTCAGACAAGATACATAAGGCATTTTGTGCCCCAGCAGGACGGCGTATAAGCTAGGCCGAGCTAGAGATTCATAGACCCCTTGGCTAAAAGCACTTTTGACTTCAATACTCCGAATTGAAGGTACGAGAGCGTTCTGGGCGGGCTGAGCTTTTCTCCAGCGAGCTTGCGGTTTGAAGCATCATTTCCTGGCCGAGCAGCTTGGACTTGATTGGGAGACTCTTTTCGCAGAGCTTGTGGCCTGTTGACGCCTAAGTCTCAAGACTATAGCCATCCTTTGACCGATTTTGCACGCAGGTCCAGAATCGTGTTGTTGCGGCACGCTCAACTTTCGAGCAGCCTTTGCAGCTTAGCGCAGGCAGGGCTCAGTAGACTCGGCAGACGGGGTCTTGCAACTTAGCCAACAAGAAACATCCAACAAGAAACAACAAGCACACATCATGAAGAGCCTGAAAAAGCACATTATATAGATGCCATTTCTGACGCCTTGGAGTGCAGAAACTGCCCTGACTCAGTTCGATCGACTGACAGCCGTATCATTCCCGAGCTTCTCACGAAGACCCTGAAACCCTTGGCTCGAACGGAAGTTGCTACGCAGCTGCATCAGAGCGCAGGTGTGTCAATGCAGTACAGAAGATCGGGGCGGGATACGTAGAGATCTCCTTTAAACATGTGTTCCGAAAAAAAAGGAGTGTGGTACTGTAGTGCGCTGTAGCACTATAAGACAGTCTATATAAATATTTTACAGACCCTGCGTACGGTAGCTTCGGCGGTAGTATACAGTACCACGGCATGCTTTGCCTCTTTTGCATGATCTGTGTGACCAGCATGTCCAGGCACTCTCTCTCGCATGTTGTTTGTAATTGTGTAATAGCGTTTGTGGTATGCTGGCTGAGGTTAGGGTCTACTATGATCCAGCGAAGGCCTCCGGTCGATTCTTTGCATGGCAGTTTGTGGGAATGGCCACGCTGAAGCATGCAAGTGCCGCTGGATACATACCCCTACATACCTCTTTGCAGCCTGGATGCCACTGCCTTATTCTATATACTAAAGACAGGAATGCTTCTCCGTTCTTTCTTTCTTCCTTCTGTTCTTGTGCTTCTGGACCTTTCGGGTTCTCGAGTTTGTTGTGTTCATTTCTATAGACTTGTCTCTTTCCTCTGGCACGATGGACATCACTACCCTGTTGCACTAGAAACAAGAACGCTCTGTAACTTCGCCGAACAAGTGCCAGGCTACTTTGGAGAACGGACTGACTGCTGTTTCTAGGCTCCTTACATTCTTCAGATTTCTTCAGTTTTGTTCATTTTCCAGGTCTCCATGCCTTCTGGAGCTGGTGCCGCGGCAAGATCAGAATCACCAGAAAAGCTCTGAATGTGAGCCTGTTGTTTCTGTCAGACGTTTGCACACTTTTTGTGACCATTGATTCAAATCAAATTTTCACCCTTGATTTAGTGGGCAGGCAGTGGCGACTAGAACGCAACAAATATAAGAACATTCCGTAGTTATTGTGGAATGTTTGGCTTCGGATGCTTCCGGAGTGGACCACCTTTTGTCCCAGTATATATATATATAGTTTCGACGTCTACATCGCAGGACAACATGTGTTAAACTCCAGACGTAGGTTTCAACATCAGACGTAGCTGTGTTTCAACAGACGTAGGCCATGTAAGAAACTGGGGCCTTTCAATTCTTTGGAGTCGTGGCTGTGCGGCCTCTCATGCGACACCAGTTGATCGCCTTTGTTGAACCTATCTTGCGCCAGTTTCGCGCAACCATCAGCCTAGCGGCCGCGATCAGTGGCATTGCTCAATGAGCTTTGAACATTTACACCCGGCAGCCTGTTAAGTACGCCTATGACAGGGCGAGGTCAAATAAGGTGAATTTCTCGGACAGAACGATGTCGGGCTTTGGATCGCAATTAGCGACATCTCAGGCAGCAAGCCACAAAAGCTACTGTGCATCGGTGATAGGAAGTTGGTTTTCTTTTGGGGCCTTCTGGGTCCTACGCAGGTAGCATGCAACAAGACCTCGCAAAAGCCGGCGATTCGTTCACCACCAAATGATCCACATTGGCCATACATCGGGAAGTCTATATTGATCAATGATCTCCCGCGGTGATGTAGTAGTGAAGTTAGCTAAAGTGTCATCCCAACAGATCTTCTTGAATCCAGACCATTGAGAGATATGCGGGTGTAAGGACATTGGGCTCGTGCCCCCACAAAGAACTCAATAAACCATGGGCATGACAGTGAGAGAACTCATGCAGTACTGAACAGCTATGAGCACATATCGCGCGACAACCGGCAAGACACACACACACACAAAGACACACCTTCATGGAGTTCCTTGCTGCCATGCTCGACATCTCAAGTGTGCATGGACCACATTAAGAACTACAGTAGCCGCTTTGGCAACAACTACATGGAACACAGGTGCGGAAACAGATAATTCTCATGCGCCGCTGATACGCTAAAAAGAACTGGCTGGGCTCACGCGGATTGAGACCCCCAGCGCGGCGTCTCACAAACCCGGCACATCAGATTCTGCACTTCCGGGATTTTGGAACAAGTTTTTTGGCGCCCCATGATGTGGTATTTGTGTTCCAGTTTGACGCTTTGATTATATAGGGTTTGCTATTGGACCCTTGACTCTAGTCAAGGTTTTTGGCCAGTGTCATGCCATGAGTGAATAAACCATACCTTTGTGTTTGTTCGTGTGGCTGCATGGTTTTCTGAGCACATGCTTGTGGAAGCGATTCATCAACCGAGGCCTCTAAAATGTAGCAGCAAAACCTTCCAATGTTTCCGTGTGGAAACGGTATTTCTCTGTTTTTTTCGTTATTTTTTCCGGGAATTGTTTTCGCGTTTTTCCCCTACTGCTTCTGCTTTTGCTTTTGCTTTTTGCTTGTGCTTCTTCTTTTGTTTTTTTGCTTTTGCTTTTGCTTCTGCTTTTACTTTCTGCCTTTGCTTTTGCTTCTGCTGGGAGTGCTTTACAAGCACTAGGAGCAGCAGAAAGGGCAGGTGACGAAGCACCAAAGCCAGCGTGACGGAGAGAGCGAGACAGTGACAAAGGGAGGGAACAGAAAAGGGCTTTGGTGCTTCGTCCCCTGCCCTTTCTGCTGCTCCTAGTGCTTGTAAAGCACTCCCAGCAGAAGCAAGAGCAAAAAGCAAAAGCAGTAGGTGAAGAAACGTGACACAAATTCCCGGAAAACACCTGAAAACAAATTCCGGAAAAACATATTCATCCTTTCCGTGTGGTCCATGCAGAAAGGGTGGCACGACCGTGTGCCAACAATGTTGATGCCAAGTTGTGCTATGGCGAGACCGCAACAGATCCAGGCCCCCGAGACTCCCATTTTTTCAAACCCACCCACCGGCGAAAACGGCAAGACGTAGCTCGCTTGCTTTGAGCATTTCCAAGGTGCAGCAGAGGACAGGGCAAAATTTCATAGTTTACTTGAGACTTAGACTGTGGGGGCATGTGTTTTGCTTCTCGATTCACTTGCTGCATGCCTCTTAACTGCTCTCCTCGCTTGCACCTGACCTGGTGTGCCCAGTGTGCCCCTTGGAGGATTCAGCGCGTGAGCTGTTCGCTGCTTCAGAGTCAGGTGAAACAGTTCATTGGAATACTCCATTGACGCCCCTTGGAATCAAGGTTTTGCATCGCTCAGAGCCACGTTATGGTGTTTCCCGCCGAGGCTTGACTCTTTGGAGCAGTGGATGGCTCGACAAAAGTCTGTCACACATGTTCATGGTCTCTTGTTCGCAAAAGCGTTTCGATGCAGTGTTTTCGCAATGGCCCCGCTCGACTTCTGACTAGTGTGAAACAAGGAAGAGGGACCGACATTATTGAAGCCATGTTGATTTTTGACACGAATATTGTATGGGGTGCCACTCTTCAAGCACCTTGGCAGCCAGATGCATCATTTGGCAAATCCACTGGTAGACTACGTAAACTCTACATCCACTGCTTGAGGTGTTGGATGTCGGATTAATGCGTAATAAAGTGGAACATGTTCTGCCGAATTTCCTATTTGGGGACAGGTGCAAGCGTCGTTGATGCAACCGCATGCTCTGTTCGAGCCTATGCTGGCTTTTGACCTCACGCAAGTGGGCGCGACAAAGGCTCGTTGCTTGGCTCTTGTGAGACTGCGCGCCATGGAGAAATCATTCACACCTGTTTCATGACTAATGTTTTGAAGTGTTGAGGTGTTTAACTCAATATCAAACATCTCGTCCCGTGGTTTCAGCGAGGATACAGTCCAAAAGCACCATTCTTGCCAAGGCTGGCTACTAGCGCAGAATCCGTCAGATTCTCCGCTTGCTACGCCCTCAGTTTCCACCAATTGCTGTTCAGCAAGAAGCCTACATACAGGCTGTATGATACAGCAGCCAATCTTCGTTTTTCTTGAAATTTTATCGGCAAACAAACGCGTTCATTGTTGTTGTGGACCTTCATTTGTCAGTTGTGCTTGTGTGGAGGCACTTCAATTGGTATTCCCAGTGTGCACAGACCAAGCTGCAGCCTCATTCAACCAATACAACGTTGTTACAACATGTTCATTGATTCGATTCATTTTCACTTCTTGCGTTTCATTGACATCCCCAAGTTCTGAAGTGCTTGTCATTCATTGAAGGCCATGAAGTCGCGCTCCAGCCTTGCTCAGCAGAATCAGACCTCCACTGCACCGGACTGGGCGGTTCAATACCATGCGTCAATACCATGCGTGCTACTACCAAACAAACGCAACAGTGGCTGAGTGCTGGCAGGTGTCTCTATTGCTTATCCAAACAAAAATATTGGCACACGACATACCTACCTACCTACTGTACATACATACCTACCATAACATACCGTTACATTATGTTACATGGCATTACATCAGATTGTGCGTGGAAATGCGGATTTTCTTCCTGTCAGCGACTCAGCCACTCAGCCACTCAAGATCCTGAGTGGCTGACACGAAGAAAGCCGGGTGTTTCCTTTTGTATGTGTGGCGTTACACTTTGATAAACAAATAAAAGGCCCCCCCCTAGTAGGTGGTTATTGGGACACTTACCATCCGAACACGAGCAACTGGACCACAAAAGACAGATGGACCATCATGGGCATGTCGACGAGACTTGTTTCCAACTAGACCACGAGAATCTCAGAGTCCGATCGTCGTGGTCCGACGTGCAGGTCTGTATAGCCTGGTTTCGTTTCAATAGGTCTGGGCTCCACTTAGGTTCCTCTTACAATCTGACCTTTTAGCACTAAGCCACATATGTCTCTAATGTTTCCCCCTTGGATCCCCTTGGCCATTTGGTGAGTTGGAACGCTTATCGACCGGAGCTCAGTCCGACACAGCGGCTTTTGGCTGAGACAGGGCTGGGCTTGTCAATCCACGGCGCGAGCAGTCGCATGCAGCAGCTTTGATGAAGCTCTGCTTGTGACTTGTGTCTTGCCACAATCGCCACAGTAAGCCACTGCGAGATTGACACCCCTCGAGCAGCCATACCAAAGAGGCAAAGAGCCCTTGCAGCGCTGGGCTGTGTTTTTTTCTTTGGGCTTCTGTCGGTGAAGGCCGGCCGGTGCGCAGGGATTTGAACGCTGTGGCTTCTGATTAGTAGCTCAGTAGCTAGTTGTTTTGCCAAGAAGGTTGTTTGCCGCTCGCCATTGAGACTAGAGATGCGTGTAAGCTAGGGACCATTGTGCCCAAAGAGTGTTGTTTCCGGAATGTCGGGTTTCGGCCAAACTTGGTGCTATTGCGATGCCCAAGGGAGTATTTGCAGCACTGATGGAAGTTGCCACTCCAGGCCAATATGATGTCCACCTCATACATGCGGAAGATGATACCTTGTGTGACTGGCACCCAAGTCAGGCTGATCGCCATATCATGCTACATCGTCTTGACTACACACTTGTTGCCGAGTCTGACAAGTGGATGGGCGCTGACAAGCACAAGTACTGGCACTGGCTCCACTGTCGTCTTCCTGTTGGTAGGCACAGTCTCTCTGACCTCAAACTGAGCCATCCCGACATCATCCCAGTGCGAGATCTAAAGAGGAGGCAACATGTTTCTCTGCGTAGTGGAAACATCAGCGGCGTCAGGCTGATGGCGCTGATGGCGCGCTCCGGAGGAGCCACTTGCTGGGGGCCCTGGTGCGACGAGATTCAGTGCTGACACTCTGTCTCTCCCTCTCTCTCTCTCACTCTCACGTGCTTTTTATTGCACTTCTTTTAGACGCGTCAGGCGCGTCCTCAAGAGGATGGCTGTATATAGATGGTGGATTTGACACATCAAGAGGGCAGCGCTCCTCAAGCTGAAAGGACAGACTCAGACAAAGTGCAGCAGGCCGGAACCGCCTTCTGTAAGTTTAGTGCCAAACTAAACGAATCCAGTTGGAGCTTTAATTTTATAGGAAACTCTCAGGACCTGCGTTGTTCAGCCATGGTCCTTTGAAACCGAGCCGCCAAAGATTGGCAGATCCAGTTTGAGAACGAAGAAGATTTTCGATCTGGGCTGGAGGCGCTTGAAGCGGCAGCTCGCAGAGGCCGAGCGCTGTCGCGCACAGCTGCGTTGCCAGAGACTCTGGCGGTCCTCCTTGTTTGGAAGAGCTCTGCGACCTTTTCGACCGCTCATAACTATGCCAAGGCGTGCCTGAACAATGGTGCACCTTGGCGTTTGCGGGCAGGGGCGACAGCGCCTGTGGTGACAGTGCCCAATGTGACAGTGCCCACTGTGACGGCGCCTGCGATGGCACCGCTGCTTCAGAAAGGCTTTGCGCTTGTGCAGGGGCACTTAGAGTAGCCTTCCAAGGTGTTGGATGACTACTGATTACGGCTTCATCAAGACCTTGGGTGGTGGCACGTTCCTTGTTTTGTTTTGTCTTCCTGAGTATGTTTTATGTTCTTCTGCTAAAACGCTTAGTTAACCCTAGAGTTTCGTTTAGTTTGGCGGGCGGCCTCCGTTTGTTCGCTCGGTCCCATAGGTTTGGCAAAGTGTTCGTGGCAGTGGAAGGCGGACTGACCGCAAAGTGGCTGTGAAAGAGTTGTCGCTGGACTAATTGTTTATGTGATTGTTCAATTTTTTCTTGTGACGTGACCAGCGAGAAGTGAGATAGTCAATTTGAAATGTATTTGTGTTTGGCTGAGCGTTTTGCTCGCTCGAATTTCTGGGTCTGAGTCCACCGGCCACTGCTCATTTTTTGCTCGGCATACCTGAGGAGAGGTCGCGCAAGCAAGGCACTAGAATTTTTGCAGGAGGTCTCGATCTTGGAGCAAGTGCAATGCCCCCAAGTGGTGCAGCTTCTGGATGTCACAATTGGTGGAGGATACGGTATGGTGTTCGAGCTCGCTCTTGGAACATTGACGGAGTTCCTTCCCTTGGAGCTGCCACTTGCGAGAAAAATTGCTACTGGACTTAGCCGAAGCCCTTGCGCATCGTCATTCGGAGCAAGTTGTTCACAACGATGTGAAACCAGGCAATGTGCTGGTATTCTGCCAAGAGAAGTGGCGAGCCAAGCTGGCTGATTTTGGCAACGCACAGGTTTACATGACTTTGCCAGCGTTGACTTTGAACTACCGGAGCCCTGAAGTGATTTTGGGCAAGCGTCCAGGCCCTCCGAGCGATATGTGGAGCCTTGGTGTCTTGCTCTACGAGATGATGTGGCGAGCGATTGTTCGGAGCTACTTCGGGATTCGAAGCTTGTGCGTACATGTGTGATCAATTGTTGTACACTGTTTGTCGCCCCAAACCTCGAAACAAGAGTATTGCACAAAAACGGGTCGGTTTGGAGTTGTTAAGTTACGTCGACGGTGGGGTTGCCGGTTCGCTTCGTCTAGGGTCCAAACATTCAATTGCCAAATGCACCCCCTCGACAGACGCAGAACTTGCCAGTAAGGATTTGCTGGCGCAACAGATGCAACTGGTCGGGCACGCAGCTGTGTGGCGTTCTTTCCCACACTACCCTGAGCAGACCCCCGCTCTCCGTAGGACCGGTGTGTACATTCCGAGGTTGCTTGGAGGGAACGATGTTCTTCGTCAGCTGCTGCAACCTGATTTTGCACTCCGGCCAACGGCGCGCGATTTGATGCCGGCAGTCCGGTTGTGGAGCCCCGCCAGGAGTATGTCTATGTTGACCGATGCTGATGGGACCGCCACCTTCAGCTGCAAACGTGGCCAATTCTTTGTCTTGACAGCGTTGCATCCAGGAGATGTCCGAGCCGGACGCCAATGCTGCAGTGGAGCTTGGCTGGAAACAGCCCAGAGCCCGGAAAAACTATCCTTCTTCTTTTCGAACAGAGAAAGACGCGAAAAGAAATTCTCCTTGGGCGGAGGCTCCAAGACATTGCGCAAGATGTGCGCTTGGCTTTTGAAGAGCCGCAAGTGGAACGCCAGCCGGCTGCGCTTGATTCCAAGTGTTGCCAAAAGGGTTTTGAAATCCTCGAGGCAGGTGTCTGTTCGGCAGTGGGCGGACGCTCGCAAGCCTGCAAACAACAGAGAGGAGTGTTGCGCCGCAGGATGGGTTGAAGTCGTTTGTGGCAAGAAATCTTATAGGAAGGGTTTCGTCGTCGTTAAATTGATGGAGGGCAGTGGGAGCCAAATAGCAACAAGACGGGTACGGGCAAAACAACACATGTTCGGCTGTTGGGCTGTTTCGTTTTTGGTTTGAGAGGTCCTGTTTGTGTGACCCCGGAAGTGTCTTTGAGTTCGTTTTGAAGCTGCCATTTTCCTGCTGAGAACCCAGGGGACACCCTCTCAACGACATGTTTGTGTATAGTAAATTACGGTGATAGGACTCTTGCTGTAGGAGTACCAGATCGCTCAGTGTCACAAGTCGCCATTGAACGCCCCATCGTTTGCGAGGAGCGCCTCCCCTGACGTGTACGATTCTTAGGAAGCTTGCCCAGTAGCAAGGATTCATCCTAAGCCCAGAAGCTTCCACGATGATTTGTGTCCAAGACGCCTGGATCCGACCAGGTGTGGCGCCTCACAAAACCAGCGCAGAAGCAGACGTCCACAGAAGTGTGTGGACGAAAGGGGCGTGGTCGATTTATTGTTTCTTTTTTGTTTCAGGCGTCCTTTGTACAAGCGTGTGTTGTGGGGAAGCCTTTCTTTGCAGAAACGAACTGACAGGAACAAAATCCTGAGTGGTTACAGGCACAAAATCTTGAGTGGTTGAGTGGCTGAGTGGTTGACAGGAAGAAATGTCTGAGTGGGTGAGTGGCTGACAGGAAGAAATGCTTGAGCGGCTGAGTAGTTGAGTGGCTGGTGTGGAGTAGTCGTCGTAGTAGAAGTAGTCAGTAGTATTGGTAGTAGCTGATCCGTACTTGTAGAGTTGGACAGCGGTTCTGTTGGAGTCAAAGCCGACGCAAAAACCGAAGCCTGTCTCCTTTGGCTAAAGCACCCTCTTTCTCCAACAGCTTTGTATACACTTTTTGGCCCAATGCGTACAAAAGCGAGAGGTAAATTTTACCTTTTAGATTTGCCATAACGACTTATCCTGCACTACGGACGCCCTAGTGCATTTACACTCCTTGTGATGCCAGAAATGTTTACCCCTATTTCCGACCCAACGCGTACAAAAGCGGGGGGCAAATTTACCCACCAGATTCGCTATAACAATAAACCAGCTATTTCGTCAAGGCACTCTGGTCCATATACCTTTTTCGAAGACCTATCCTGCACTACGGAGGGCCTGGTGCATTTACATTCCTTGTGATGCCAGAAATGCTTACTTCTATTTCCGACCCAATGCATACAACAGCGGGTGGTAAATTTAACCCCCAGATTTGCAATAACATCTCACCAGCTGTTTCGTCAAGACATTCTATTCCTTATATTTTCGTGCTTAGGTATGCGAGTGTCTGCTAACGTGTCCAGGTGGATGTTAGGATGTAGGGTGCTGCACATGCGACTCCCCCGTGAGGGCTCCGTAGCTCTATGTGTGTGCTTGCGCTTTGCAGCCAAAGCCTTGCCGATCCTCATTGCGCGAAAGAGCTGCTGACAACTGTTACTTTACACCCCAAGAAAAATAGGCCCCGTGCTCCAAGGAGCAATCAGCCCAGTGCTGTTTATGAAGCACGCGCGTCACCATCATTCGTGTGCTGCAGCTCACTTGCCGACTGATTTCGCGTCCACTGCGAATGATAGTGGAACAGCAGCCGGATCCGTTTCAGAAACGGAGGATTTCCACAGTCATTTCTGTTTTCAATATTATACCTTGCATTTCTAAACCCGGCTGAGTGCCATGGAAATCCAGCTCGAACCCTAGCTTTCCGTATGGGTACACGAGCTCAATGAATGCTGCGTGGAAACAAACACCTCCCGTGCGCTTCGGCTAGCTTTGGACCTCCTCCTCCTACAGTGGCTACTGCTACTGCCACTGCTACTCTTACTACCACTACGACTACCACTTCCACTGCTCCGACCACTCCTACTACCAATAATAGAACTACTGCTACTGCTCCTGCTGCTGCTACTCCTACTCCTACTACTCCTACTCCTACTCCTACTGCTGCTGCTGCTGCTACTACTTCTGCTACTACTACTACCACCACCTCCGCCCAGCCACTCGGCACCAGCCACTCAGCTACTCAGGCTTTCCTTCCTGTCAGCCACTCACTCAGACTTTTCTTCCTGTCAGCCACTCAGCCACTCAGGCTTGTCTTCTCTCAGCCACTCAGACATTTCTTCCTGTCAGCCACTCAGCCACTCAGGCTTTTCTTCCTGCCACTCAGCAACTCAGGCTTTCTTCGAGCCGCTCAGCCACTCAGGATCTTGAGTGGCTGAGTGGCTGAGTGGCCGGTCAGGATCTTGAGTGGCTGAGTGGCCGCCGTGAACCGCGACCCGGATTGCACATAATACATCACACAACGTGCATACATACATACATACAGACAGACAGACAGACAGACGTACATACTCATAATACATTTACATATACACATATATACACACACATACATACATACATACATGCACACATACATGCACACATTCATTACATTACATTGCGTTGCGTTGCGTTGCATTCCATTCCATTCCATACCATACCATACCATACATACCTACATACATACATGGCTCAAGATGTTCAAGGTCTCAAGCAGGCAGCCCCATAAAGCCCTGCTGGTGCGCCCCACGCGGCGTCGCACCATACGATGGATTCCGATGGATCGATAATTTTCAGGGTGGCGGCGCCATTGAATTCCTCCTTTACTTTCTCCTTTGCCCGCGATAGTGGAGGAAAAGGACCAGGGCACCTCTTCCTCCCGAACTATAATTTCTTTGGCGTCTTAACCTGCGGGACTTCCTCTTGGTCACTGGTGCTTCAACAGACAGCCCCTCCAAGGCCTGTCCTTGGTGCCGGCCGACACTGTCTGCAAAGGTAAACTGTGGCAATGGGATCTGGACCGACAAGATGAAGCCCAACATCAGATGCGCACGGTGCGGATTGCGGAAGACCCAACTCCAAACCCGCCTTGATGCCATGAAGCCACAGGAGCAGGGCCTTCCGGAGGAGGACTGCATGAAGGCAGTGAACCTAGTTCACCTCACAACCTTGAAGAAGCCATGGAAGCTGACCAATTCCCAACGGCTGTTGAGACCTTTGTATCAAGTTTGGGCGTCAGACCCCACCAATCGCAGGAAAACTGAGAGAGGCAGTGCGAGTAACACAGTCTTTTGGCACACTTTCAGTTTGGTTTTGAACACTCCGGTGCCTGACGATGACACTCTGTCATGTGAAGGCTCAGACTTTTTGCAATCCGGGGCAGCACGCACAGATGCAACCACCGCGCGAAGCACTTTTTCCAGCTCCAGTGACACAAGCTGACACATGGCAGCCTAGCCTTGAAGGCCGCTTCGCCCCTTGGCCCAGTCCTCTTGCGGCTGGCCCGGTATCACCCCTCCTTAACCTTCAAAATTGGAGGGGGCCTCGTAATGTGAAACTTACATTTTTTGAGGTGGTTAAAAATGTATATGAGGTGACCTGCCGAGGCAAAAATCGATATCACGTTGAAGGGGGGGCCACCGCAGGAATTGCCAAGGAATCTCTAGAACTACAGTCAGGGACGTTCTCCCCCCAAAGATTTGGCGTTGTACGGGAGAATATCCAGGTCAGATTCATAACATTCCCAGCAATGACTGAAACAACAAGCATACACCGGTACATAAAAAAACAGATTGGGGGAGGTGGTGAAAAATGTAACATACATTTTTTGAGGTCCTCCCCACTTCACTTCCTATATTTTGAGGGGGGTGATCACATGTAACTTTGAAAAGGAGAGAGGCAGAATAACAGGCACGTGTCCATGAATTCATTCTCCAGTAGAGTAGAAGAGAAGCAACAAACAAAGTAAAGGATGATATGTGCACATGCTGTGGTTTCTTGCCACTTTGCGAATGTGCGCACGCTTTTTCATTGGCCTCACATCATCAGCTTATACTTTTCCCTTTCATGCGTTCAGTGCACAGATCTCCCAGCCTGAAAAATGTAACTTACATGTTCTTAAAACATGTAAGCTGAAGAAAGGGGAGGTTCCTACGTTGGCTCATACGCATGCCTGAAAATTATAGTTTATATTGCAATTTTCAGGTGCGCCATCGGTCTACTTGAAACCTGTAATATTACGTTTGACAGGTCAATACCATAGGAAATTATGAGTTACACATCAGGAGGTCCCGCCTGCAAAGGGGTGGTGATCCTATGATGCAGTTGCCTCCACAGACCTTCTGCTTCGGAACCAGTTGGCAAACGCTCTTGGCGAGCTTTCACTGGGATGTGTGCCTGTGGCTGAGTTCAACAGAGAACCGTGGGGCCCTGCGGCGCTATCAAAGACGCAGTCCAAGCTTCACTGGAGCTTGCGGAAGGTGGACCTCCAAAGCTGAATGTTCCATGGAAGGATGTTGAAGGTGATGCTTCACATTTTGTGGCTGAAGTCCCAAAGGCTGAGATACGGGAAGGAAGCTGCATGGTGGACCATGTCCAGACCACCCGGACAGCTACTGGGATGAAATCACATGGAAAGGGTTGGGCCAACCAGGGACTGGGCCAACATCTCGTGGATAACAAACTATTGTTCTGGCCCCCAAAAGGGGCACCATGATCAATGGAGTCGTCGTGAGGCATGGCTGGCTCAACCTTGAACCCACCGACATCCACCCCCATCACGGCCTGGCGTGAGATACACAAAGGGACCATCGTTGGAATTGCGCCCGGGTACCAAAGCCGGAGCTTTCTTTCATGGTCTCTGCACACTGGCCACGCATGTCAAGGTGAAGGTGATCGTCCAACTGGGCTGTGTGTGGGAAGCCTGGCCTGGACCAAACCTGGCAAACGCGAAGATTTCTGTGACCTGGCCAGCGGGCTCCCTGCACATACACATGCACACACATGCATACAAACATACATACAGACAGAGACAGAGACAGAGACAGAGACAGACAGACGGACACATACACACATACACATATACACCTACACGCACACATGCACACACAGATGCAGATGCATGCGCATACACATACACGCATAAATATACATACATAGACATACTGACATACGTAGACCTATGCAAACAGGCAGGCAGACAGACAGCCAGCCAGCCAGCGAGCTAGCCAGCCGGCCAGCCAGCCAGGGAGGAAGGAGGGAGACAGACAGGCACACATGTTTGATACCCCATACCTTGGGAAATTATTCCTGGGGGTACCGTCAGTTGCTGGAATAATTTTTCTGGAATAATTTTCCTGCATAGGTATGCGGCTTATGGTGTGCCAGAATAATTATCACATAGAAGCTTAGCAATGTATTGTATATAGAGATTGCTGGACACTACTGCTTTGAGTTTGATGAACTTTGTACCTTTTTTTGGTAACTTGCTGCTCAAGTGAAGCAGTATCTGTGATGATTTGCACCTCATCAAGATTTGCAAAAAATAGACTCAGACAGAAGATGCTTGTGGGGTTGAGGAGAAAGAATATTGCAAAACTGGTTTCAGCCTGAAAAGCTTATCTCATGGATTTGGTCATAGTCTTCAGGCATCCTACTAGAGAGATTGTACAATTCTTAAATATTGTATGTATTGTTCAAATAACTATTCCATGATGCCTGGGGTATACCATTTGCTATCATATAAATTGCTTCAAAATATTATCCCACGAACTGCTGAGTCCCAAGAATAATAGTTTGAATTCAGACTGGAAGGCACCAGGAATATATAATACATTATTATTCTTGCCGGTATTGAGGGTATAGGTATGCTAAGGCATGGGCTATCATTTTGGATCATGAATTGGACTCTGCGTTCTGGAGGACGCAACCTGGTCTTCAGCTCTGGCGGCAGACTGCGAGGGTGGACGAGCTTTTCATTTGGGGCCAGAAGCGGAGGGACAGGCACCATGTTGCTCCTTCAGTCAGCCGAATGATTGATTTATATCCAGGGACTCATTGGAGGCTATTATTGGTTACTTGTTGAAGTTCGGTCGCGCCAGCACACAAGAAGCGCGTTCGAGTCGATGGTTTGCTCGCATATGAAGTGAATCCTTCTTTTAATTTGTGGAGCCCGCTGCCTGCGCTGACAGATCTGGCATGTGGAACCATATGGCGAAGCTTCAATAGGACCAGTCATTTTCGAGCCTTTCCAGCACGCGCAGCTTCCCAGCAGCACGCAGTTCTTTGCGGTTTGTTTGGCCTTTTGAACTTTTGGGGTTTTGAAGTCTTTATTGGTATGTTTGATATGAAAATATGATAAATATGTACTTTTGTTTGTTTGTTTTTTTTCCCCTCTCTCTCTCTCAGTCTCTTTATGTGCATAATATAGTTTTTTTGGTTGCTATTTTTGCTAGGTTCCGGACCACACTCTATGTGCGAAACAACCTCACCACCTTGCATCCAGTGGAGCTGAATGGACATGGTGGCTCGAGCCGGCTAGTGTTTCCTGAAGGGGTCCTAGCTGCTTGGCACAAACGAAGATCAACATATTGTGGAGAACTCTGCCCCAAAGGGTGATGTTGCATTCTCGGGTTGGGAGGTTTGACTGGCGATGACGGGGCGAATATATGTGTTGATTGTGTTGTGACCGTTGTGACCGCTTCCAGCGACAGAAGCTGAGGAATTCAATTTGACGATCTCAGATTTTGCTGAAGAGGAAGATGGGTCAGGTCAGTCAACAGGTTTGATCAAAAACAACCGCGGCGTACACCATATTGATCACCCTGACCTGCCATGCCCATGCGCATTTAGTTTGCAGGTTTGCAAAACCTTGGCAAACTCAGATTGAATGAATCAGATGCTCGGCCATCAAACATGCCTGACTAGGTAGAGATTTGCACCGCAGAATGCCCTTTTCGCGGCCCTGTGGTTTGAAACGCTACATTGATTTTTTGGATGTGCTTAATGTGCTTATTAAATCTTACTAAATCAAATCTTATTAAAACCTCCAAAAAGTTTTGGACAAGTAGCCCAACAAGTCTGCAACATGCAAACATGACCTCCAAGACCACATGCCCAGCACTCGCACTCCTTTTTGTCGTTAGACCACGGTAAAGTCAAGTTGCTTGACAATCTCATGATCCGATAATGTTAAGATGCCCCCCTACTTGTACCACTCCACCCCGACCCCAACTCAACGATATGGTGATTTGATTCGATGACAATGCTGTGAAACCTATGTTTTTTTGGTGAAACCGATGAGAATGTCATGCAAAGGATGAAAACGATGACGAGGGATCAAAAAATAGGATTCTGAGGGGCGTTGAAGGGACCCTGTCTTGTTTTGCTGGGAGTGACAACTAAGTTGTGCAAGCATGCGCAAACATTCCTACGTCCTATGTTTACGTGTTTCCCATCATTTTTGCAAACGTCAGGATGATCTCTACGTCAGCAAGTCTGGGTGGCTTTCCTGGATGACCGCAAACCAAACAGAAAGCATCTCGGCAACATCTAGAAGCCGATCCTTCGAAGGGAAGTTGCGGACCACAGAGCCTTTTTTCGCTTGCCTTCAGGTGCAGTCGAGGACAGTGAGAAAGGGTCGCATGGCAGCATGCTTTTCAAAAGGTCCTTCTGAGTCCATCTTCAGTGTTTGTTTGCCTTGTTCGAAGCCAGACTTACAACACTTGAGGTCCAAGCCATGGTGGCGGCAACGCCGCCTGGCCGTGACGCGCAGCATTGTCGCTACAAACGACTGTGAGCTCCCCGTTGAGGTGGCTTTGCTTGTGGTGTTGTTGCACGAGCAGCATGTCTCACCTGGACGTCTTGGGAGAATGCAGCGGGATGTTTGTGCGCTTGACACTATGAGGTGGCCCAGATCGACATTGGTGGCATCCCAGGATGTAGCGCCTTCGGCTTTGAGGCACGGGAAATATGGCTCACCGCGTTTGCAGGAATTTTGTAACCCCGGCCAGAAATGGTCGTCCACCTCCATATTCCATCCTTCCGATTCCAAGCTGTCAATGCTCACTCGTCACGGGCCAATACTTTGCAGGTGCAAGATTGCCAGCTACCGATCACAGTCGCGCCGCGCGAATCCGTTGCCTTCATGGTTTCCTTTACGCCAGAAGTTGTTGCCTCGCGCTGGGTTCAGCCCTTGGATTTTCAGTGTTATTGTGGGTTGCACCTTAGGCCTCCGGCCGAGGCGAACCACAGTCACGATTCGCGATTGCAAGTCGTTTCGCAGCCTTTCAAGCTTCCTTTGGTGGCATTGGTTGCTTTATGTTGCTTTCGATCTTTTGTCGGCTCAATTCATAAGTCAACTGTCCGAACGTGACAAATAGATGCAAGTAGTTTTTTTCGGCCGACCGTGTTGACGTGGACACACATGAGTCGGCTCCTATGGTTCACAATTCAGTTTGCAGTCGTTGGCGTTGGGGCTGCAAAGAAATGTTCTTTGGACATTCCAGCGAGGCCAAAGCAGCAGAAGACGCTCAAAATCATGAGACGTGCTTGGGTTTCTCATGAATTGGTGTCTGAAGTTGCATCCATTCTTCTGGAGAATGTCCTGATGTACGATGTTGAATGGCACCGACCTAAAGCCTCTCCCCTTGATGATTTCAGAGCCTTGTCCCTTGGGGAGGCAGATGTGAACTTTGAGGTGTGGCAAGGAGGGAAAGCAGAGGAGCTACAACGATGGGTTCGAAGTGATTCAGCAGAGGTTGTGGGCAGCCACTCCATGCTTGCATATGACGGCATACACACACTGAAGCACACAATTGACCGCTTCCCTGAAGCAGAATTTTACCAGTATCTACAAACTCCACAGATGTCATGGGTGTTTGCGAGTGATGCATTTCAGCAAGGAGAGTCATTTGCTGATCCGGGCAACCTTTGCAGAGATCAAAGGTGGAACTGCACTGACTTTGTGTGGCAACCCCCGCATTGTAGAGAGGAGGTCCGCTGCGTGGGTCAGGTGTTGCACGATTATCCTCACTACAGCCAGGGGGTGATGGAGCAACAAATTGCCAACAATGGATTGCCACTGTCTACTGTTTACTTGACCCCACTTTCCAAGCAGGTAGCAGTATGGAATGCCTTTGCATCAAAAAGAAATATTTTGTTCCAGCACCACTTCCCATCTGAGGGAGTTGACGGTGTCCCAAGCAGTGCTTTCGTGCCCATCCAATTTTCACCCAAGCGGTATGGATGCAACTCCACCGAAAGCTCTTCTCCTGACGGCGGCTTCAGTTGCCATCTTGAAGCCAAGCGCTTGCTGATCGTTGCCTCCCCAGCATTCGTGACAGAAGGAGACGCAGCATATTTTGCCGAGCGCTTCCGCCTTGACAAGGAGAGCTATGACAGACTCTTTGATCTTTGGCGGCAGCATGATGGTGATGCTTATCAAGCCGCCTGCAGGTGGTTGCAAGAGACCGGAAGTTCTAAGTGGGGAGGCTGGATCAGATTCAGCAAGCAAGTGGATTTTATCCGTGAATTCCCTCCCATGTCGGGGTGCTTTCCAACCTTCTACTTATTTTTCCTGGCTGCTGTGACGGTGGCCTTTACGGAGAAGTATTTGCTCAAGAGCCTAAAGGCCTGCAAGCGATGGTGTACCAGGCCGCCAGCCCAGAACCCGAACTGGGAGCCCACGGATCTCAGTGACATTCAGAGACGCATGAATGATCGTGCCAGTTACACGACTCCAGATTTCACCTCCAAACTTGTTGCCTCAAGAAGCGCATCCTTCGTTGAAGTGAAGATGGCCCTTTTGAAAGGTTCTATGGGATTTATGAGCTTTTTCCGTGATGAGGAAGACTTTTGTGAAGACTCTGGCCGGGCCATGATTCCTCCACAAGCTTCGTCATGTTTTCGTCAATACTTCCACAGCAGCCTGCAGGTCCTCATTTACATTGTCACATCCGGCCTCGCAAACATTGCTGTTAGTGCGCTCACCTTTGCTTTGGCGACTGGCATGGTTGGTGCACTTTTGGCTGAAGTTCGGGCCACGAAGGAAAACAACAAGCAAGTAGATCCGCTTCTTCAAGTGGAAGACTGGTACACCAACTGGCTTTCAGACATGCAAACCGTAACAGTTTTGATCGATGACTTCAAGTTTTTGCCGACCTTCTTCATTACCTACATGATTGGGCAAGATGTAACTCGCTGGCTCGAATGGCTTCGAACTATGTTCCGCGTGCAAGGACGGCTGCATGATGTGGGGCTTGTGGTTGCCACTTCTTATCGGAAGGTGAACGATCCACAGATTGGAAAACAGCAGCGCCAGATGCTTTTCAAGTGGTACAGATATCTCAATGCAATTCATTATTTGGGCTATTTCAAGCTGGCACCAAGCATTGGAGCCTCTGGGGATGAAGTTCTTCAAGACCTACGCACTGCTGGGCTTCTGAAGGAGGCCGAGTGCCAGCAGCTTCAGTTTGCAGGTACCAAGTTACGAGACACCCTGGTTTCATGGCTGGGCACATTGTGGCATGACGAGCTTGAACGTGGATGGGTTCAGAGTTCAGACTCCGACGTCTTCATGCGAAAGATTTGCGAACTGCGTGGAATTCTGGCCCAGCTGAGCGACATGCAAGACCTGCGGATCAGCCAGATGGTGCGTGTCATGATGGTTGTAGTAACCAACATTCTTCTGGGATTGGCACTGATCGGCTACCCCACGAAGATGTATGAAGACACAACGGAATGTATCCAATTCTGGCCACTGATTGCATGCTATCTTTACTTCATTTGCTACCGAGGGATGCTTCACGTGATGTTTCTGTTGGACAAGGGCCCTTTCTACGCGAAAGGAGATTGTGTGAATATAGATGCATTGTTGATCAGTACAGAACGCTATATGTTTCACATTTTTCGCACTTCATTCAAGAGTAGCCAACAGAAGAATACAAAATATCCGTTGCCTGATCGGCCACAAGAGCCGGCTGCGGTGTAAAGTGTACAGCCTACAGCCAAAATGATGGGCATTCCCAGACTAATGCCTGCATGGTGGAAAAGTTGGAGTTGTGCAGGATGATATGATTCTCTCCAATTTGGGTCACCTATACCGAGATGATCTTCAGTCGCACGGAAAGGTGTCGGGCACAAGCCAAGGCTCAAAATCTTCGATTCCTCAGTGCCTCGGGGCGATTGGTTCTTCAGGCACGTTGGGCGGTCAGAGAGGTCAACTGAGCATTGTCACCTCAACCTGCGGAATCCTGCGGACCCATTGGCACGTAGGTAGAGCCTCCCAAAAGCTCACCTCCAGGTTCCACTTCGTGTCAATCTTCAGCCAGAGCTCCTGCCAATGCTGAGCGACTTACCTACGCCGCTTTGATAATGTGGATGTTGACCTGTGGGATGGGACTCGTTGATTTTTGAGACCTGAGCGTCTAAAGTGAAGGCAGTCAAGGGTTGGCTTTGGCCCTCGGCCCATTGGCTGTTGAACATGTCGAACCCACCACTAAAATCGAACGCGTTCTATTCAGTAATCGGCGCCCAACATGATAGACATGCTTGCTGGATCTCTAGTATTGCACGGGCCAACTCCCCGATTCCGCCGTTGGGGAGTTATGGATCGGCCATAGATGTGTATTATTATGATACAGATGGCCTCAAATCATAGGCATTGCACGGATCTATCAAATCTATTGGGTTGCAATGAATGGTTCCAATAATAAGCAACCAAACAGGCAAGTGACAATGATAATATATATATATATATATTATATATACATACATACTCCCATCCCATTGTAGCCAGGTGCAAGGGGTCTCTGACAGGTGATTGATAATTGCACTAGAAGGATGCTCATGATGGAGCGTATGTGTGGAAGGATTGGCAGACTAAACTTCTAAGGACAGTAAGAACCGAAGCTTTGATTCTTTTGATGTTTCAACAGACCAGCACTTGGTATTGTTGTTTGGAGTATGCATTGGCATTGCCTTGCTGCTTGGTTTTACCACTCTGTGACTCACAATAATTAGTGGTCAAGGTTCGTCAAAACCTTTGGCCTGCACTCGGTACATTTGTGAAACAATACAAATATTTACAAATTGCTCCCTTGTTCGTGAAGATGTGTGTCAATACGCAGCACAAACGTTGCAACCCGAGAATGTATATATGTTCCTTGGCCTCAGCAGATCCGTGTTCGATCTTGAAAGACGCAGGTCTCTACAAATATTGGGTGACCAAACTGAAGCCTCATTGCGCAAAGTGGTTGTTCTCACAGCAACGGCCGTGCTAACCATGATGCTTGCAACTTTGGCGGCACTGTTGCACTCGTAAGGAAGTTGTAAATTGATTTGGTGCTCCCTTCACTCGCAACTTTTCCAGTTTTTCTGAAGTGTTCGAGGCTGTTGTGGCACTGGACAGTTTCCGCGCCTGGAAGATACCTGTATCATCAGGCAAGCGTACATGAGAGCGACCTAAATATGGCCTCAACATCACTCCCTAACCATCCCAATGCTGAACTTGCACCCAGGACAACTGTCCAAATTGCCGCATTCTCAGGATTTAGTTAGTGCAGTGCATGTGAGGCTGGTGAATTTAGTTGAGACGCTCCAGGTTCAATGGGGCCTCGGAAGCTTCACCCGCAGCTCGAATTGGAGAAGTTATTTCAATGTGTTTGGTCTGCAAAGAATAGAGGGGAGGATGGGTGCCTGTGAATTGGCTCTCCGTTGTCAATCAAAATGCTCAAACCGTTGCAACATACTCGTACGTGCAACTATGCAGGCTCACAGGTACAGAGTGGCACACATTGAGATATTGTCGCAGTAACAACCATTCACGCACACATGTTGACCTACTTTGCGAGCGCGCGGGTGTGTGTGTGTGTGTCAAACACTGTCCCGAAGGGCTTTCCACCACGAATTCATGTTTCTAAGCAGGGGGCCACAGCTCTTACACCTTAGCCGGACCTTTAGTCATTACTGTAGTCCTAAATGTTGCTCCCCTCTACAGGGGGCGTGTGTGTAAACCCGTTGGAGTCATAGGGATTCCGTTGAATGTGTTACAGAAGGGGTGCAATCCCACATTGCAGCGGGGCGCCTTCTGGACGTACCTGCTTGGTTGTGGTGCTCACAAGCTGTCACTCTCATCTTCCATCAAGGGCTAACGTCTTTGGCAGGTGTGCACGGACGTCGTTACCTTGTCGTTTCGTTATCGTCGGCTTTACATTTGAGATTTGGGCCTCGCCTTTCTTTTATTGTACCTCCAGGATCCTCAGACTTCTTACTTGGCAATCTCAGGATTTGAGTGCCTAGGTTGCCGTGTGGCGAGCGGCATTCAGTTCAGTACGCATTGCCGAAGTGTGTAAGTGTAAGTGTGTGTGTGTGTGTGACAGGGGCACACTGCAAGGAAGGACAGGAGACAGGATGGTTTCCAGTCATTGCTCCTTTCGAAGTCGGAAAACAAAACATTCTTCACGCGTGCTATATACTAATTACTATTTTATAGCTAGAAACTACTAATAGCTAGAAGTTACTCGGTAAAACTCCCGACTCTCGACTTGCAAGTTCGGTTGATTGACACTCGGCACGCCTGTTTGTCAGGTTGTCTTGGACAAGTATCGATACCTTGGCTGGTGTGCAGGACAGTAGTTCTCAGTGGATCCAATGGTGAGAACAACTTGGATCCTGGGGGTTGTCATGCATGATCACGCATGGTTCGTTGTAAAAAGAGGTGGCCTTCAATTGCATCCCGCATGCGCTGCGCATTTACTGTTTGGTGGGAGGGTTGGAATGGCTGCAGGAAAAGGAGCCACAGCGCCAAAGTGAAGAACCTGGACAGCTGCCGCCTCAGCATTGGCACTACCATCAAGCAACTTAGCCGTACTGTTGGCAAGTCATGTGAGTGCTATCGCATTTCTCATGTTTTCTCCTATTGTGAGGTCCCAGGCGCAGCCGCAAAATGCTGGGCCAAACCCCGCAGCACAGGTCCAACCACAGAACGCTCCGAACGCTTCAGTTCAGAGCACATCCAGAACATCTGCACAAAGCGGCCAACTTGATGTCTCACAGCAAGAGCAGCTCAAGGAGCAACAGCAACAGCTCCAGCAACAGCTACAACAACTGCAGCAACTGCAGCAGTTGCAGCAACAACATTTGCAGCAGCACTTGCAACATCAGCTCCAAAGGCCAGAGAACCAAGGGCCGGCCGGGCCGCAACCAAAGTCAAAGTCGCAGCCGAAGGCTCAGGTGTCAAAGAGTCAGCCTCAAGCCAAGCAGCCAAAGCCCCAGAAAGAAGGAACAAAAACTCAGAAGGAACAAAATGCGCAGCCAAATCAGCCTGCACCAAGTGTTGCGCCAAGCGTCACCAGCACCAAATCTGGCACTAGTGCTGCAAAATCACCACCACCACCACCACCACCTGCAAATCAGACTCCTGTGGGCGAGAGGCGGCCCTCGCAATCCAAAGTCGACGAGGTAAAGGCCAAGAAGAAAGAGAAGGACACAGAATCACCACAAGCCAAGCCGCAAGCGAGTCACAGTGGGAGTCAAGCACCGAGCCACACGAGTCAAGGTCCTTCGAATGCCCGGGCACGAGGAGAAGAAGCGCGAATTGAGGAGAGGAAGCGTGATGAACGAGATGAAGAGCGCCGAAGGGAAGCCGAGAGCCGAGATGCCGAGAGCAAAAAAGCCGAGATGCCGAGGGAAAAGCGGCCACCGTACGGACAGCGCACGACGGCCAGCGCACTCCATGCTGCCCCCAGTGCTCCACCAGCGGATGGAGACGTCACGTGTGGTCCAAAAAAGAAGGAGCACGGGAAAGCTAAAGCACTACCGACTTTCTCTAAACAACCGCCAGCACATCCTCCAGCTGTGCCTCCTGCACAGCCTCAGCAGCTTCCACCTCCACCCGAGAAAAAGACCCATCCGCAGCAACAACCACCTGCGCACCCACCCTTGCAGCCACCCACCCTTCCACCGGCACAGCCACCTGCGCAAACGCCGGCGCCGCCAGCTGTCCCACTGAACTCCATGTGGGCAGACAACAAGTCGTCAACTGTGGACTTCGTGGGTCAGCCACCTGCGGCAGAAGATTCAACAGCCATGGCACTGCCACCACCTCCTTCCATTCCACCACCACCTGCCCCCTGTGGCTCCCTCGTGACGAGTGTGAAGCCAAAAGCCATAAGCCCAGCTCCTCCTGCCGAGATGGATCCAAGCATGAGGAATATTCAGCGTCCTCCTCCCGGAATCGACCTGGGCCTGTTGTTGACAGGGCCTGCCCCAGGACTATCGCCGCAACCTGTCCTGCCTCCCCCGGGCATTGCCAACGCTTTTCCTCCCGACTCAGCCCTGGCCCCTGCAGAGGCAGCCGCTGTTTCAGCCGTCCAAGGTTTGGGGACCGACAGCTTTTTCGGAGGAACTGGGTTGGGAGCTCCCGGTTTGGACTTTGGAGGTTTGCAGCCCGGAAATGGCCTGGGTGCCATTGGATTTCCACCTGGCATTTCGCCAAAGCAGCCAATGCCGCCTCAACGAGCACTGGGGCTACAGCGTCCAGGCCCAAGTTCAATTCCAGGGATGCCCCCAATGCCTGAGCAGGAGTTTTACTCCAATCCTGATGCATCCAATCGCTTGGGTATGTTTAATGAGCCTCCACCGGCAAGCTCCCTTTTTTCTTCGCCCTTTGGCATGTTTGGCCCTATCGGATCACACGGTCGTACCCTTAGTGTGAGCTCACAGCTGAGAGAGAGACTGTTTGTTACTAGTAGCTTCTTGTTACTAGTAGTGATGCCAGGAGCTACTGGTAGCGATGCCCTTTAGCCATCTATGAGAGTTTCAGGTTGAACTTAAGGATGTTCTCCGTCCTGTCATACTGGATTGATATTTTCAGGCTATGGCGATGGAAATCCTGACGGTAACGACTTTCTCTCTGATTTGAGATCAGATTCGAGGAGGATGGACAAGTGAACTTCATTGAGGACAGTGAAATGAATGACTCTTGGTTGAAATGGCCCGTATACATAGCATGAGCCTTAAGCTATGCAAATGTCCGTGCAATCAGAGCCCGAATCTAGCAACTCTGCTGTGGTGTTGGGCGAAGCCTTAGGTGTTTGAACCATTTGCATGCTGTTGTCAATGCCGTGCATGGTGTTGGACCATCGATGCATCAGGGCTTTTGTCACGTCCCTGGTCCCTGTTCCAAGAAATTATGCTTATTATTGTTTGTGTAAGTATTATATAAGTACATACAGGCCGAGCGGTTTTAGTACTGAAAGAGCCAACTATGGATGGCATACAATGTGAGCCTTTGCATGCCCTTACGCTCATCAATTGCGCTCGCGAGGGAGAACTGCATGTATAGTACCGTGCTGTATTTTGGAAGAAATGATCTGCACCAACAAGTTCCCGATCTTCCATTTGATGTGGGGTCGGAAAATGGCCCGAGGCCAGATGAAATGGAAGAAATACCCGGAGCCATATCCATGTTCCGATTTCTTCCATTTGAATGGTTGCAGGTGGTTTATTTTCCTGTCAAAAAAAGAGAGAGAAGGAAGAAGGAAAAAGAAAGAAGGAAGAAGGCAGAAGGAAAAAACAGTCTCTCCCTGCCATTTCTCTCAGGTGTCCTAATGACAGAGCAAGCCTTTAGTACAAATGGAAGAAATTGAACACCTACTTTATGCTACAGGGTATTTCTTCCATTTGCTGTTGCCTGCATTTTCCTCGAAAAATTGATCTTCCATTCAATAAATTGTCTTATATAATATATTCCAAAATACAGCACGGTGCCATAATCAATCCCAGCTTGTTTTGATTGATGTCGAGTCTGGATCTGGATTTGGCCCTCGTGCCGGACCAGTCGCTTGTTATGCAAGAATCGAAACTGAACTCAGGTACTTTGCGACTGAAACTGAGTGGGCAGGCTTTTCAAGACCCAACAGCGCACTTGAGGCGTAATTCTGGCTGCAGAAAAGGATGCACGACTCCTGTCCGCTTTGCATATACGAAAGCGAGCTATGAAGTCGGTTTTGCTATTGTTTACTGAAGTTCTCGTTCACGAAGGGAAGGGAGAGTTAGAATTGATAGCAGGGGATCGAATTGATTGATCACTGCAAATGACAGAACCAACGATTTGATTCAATGCTGAATTGGGCAGGCCCGATCAAATTCACAAATCACAGTCGTCATTTGAGTGATTCACCAAGTTTAGCGAACAAAGTTTCCAATCTGTGTGTATTATCATCTAAGCCGGCGCTGAAGCATCAGAGAGCACACCCTCGCTTGGATTGCCGATCGTTCTTTTACAGATGAGTGCTGGAATGGTTCTTCCAGCAACATATCCGCTTAAGCATGACCGTTGAAACCGAGAGTTGTGAATGGTTGTAGTGTTCAAGAGTGTGCACTCAGCCAGTACTAGTATTGCGTTCCGATTTGTTCTCGCTTTCCCTCTCAAGTCTTTTGTAGGAAATTGTTGGATGTGCTTAGCTTCCTTCAATTACTGATCTTTGATTTGGATTTGGTTGGACATCCAATCAAGATGCATTCTTCCACGACTAATCACCACGCCATGTTTCGAATTTCGATTGTCGCAAGCTCCTGGTTTCTTGTTGGAGCTTGCGGACTCCGTGGGCCGGGGCGCCCTTGGCAGGCAATTTGCCGATGTCATTCGAACGATGACGGCATCCCCTGTGGAGAAAAGAGTACTTTTTCTTTGCACCATTTTGTGATCGTCCAAGTCACAAATAGCTTAAGCTTAAGCTTAAACTTATGTGCAGTGCTTGGGCAACAATCAGCGCAAACCATTTTAGAACCGCTAGTGCAACAAACCAGTGCTCGAACCTACCGTGAGGATGTTGCAGTTTTTCCATATTGTTCCTCTTGCACCAAGCTGTCCTTCATCCAGCATAGCGCACGCTTCTTACCGCCTCATTCTTCTTTCGGTTTGGCATTTGCTCCACTAGTTTGGGAATCGGGCGAAATACAACTTCCCCCGGGGCCCAAGATTGCAGCTGCCGAAGAGGTGGGTGAGATCAAATCGTGCGGCCATAGAAGCACGAGCTTTTGAATTGGTGGACAAGAAGGATAAGTTTGTGAAGGAGGGTCACCGCACAGGTGACCGTTGCCTTGATGGCTGCCAACGGAAATGGAGCAGCCAGCAAGTTGGGCTCTTACATAATGTTGGTGGTGTCGGAACTGTAATATTCAAGTAGTTGTTTGGCAAGGATTGGCGACATGTCAGAGCTCCTTGGGCTGACCAAGCTTCAGGCCAATCACAGCGGTGGTTGTGGAGTCATTAGAGCATCATACTAATTCTATCCAGTTCTGCTTTACCCACCTGTGCAAGAGTCATTACAAATACTGACAGGCTACGCAGGCTCATAGGTGCGAACAACAAAATTGAACCATTTTGTTGTCAGTGGCCATTCTATTCTCATCTGTTATTACAAATAACCACTCCTTTGCTATGACTCGAAGTTTGTGGGCACACTGTGTGTACACGGAGGCTTCCTTAGCAAACACAACATCCATCAGGGTGCACCTTGCCGAAATCCTGGTGGTAGCGTCAAGACTTGCAATGATTTGGTGATATTCAATATCACGAAAGCCAGCCGATAGTCCGATAGGCAAGGCTTGAGGTAGGTGAGTTAAAGGGGGTGTGTGTGTGTGTGTGTGTGTGTCAACCCCTGTACCTAAGGGTTCCACCTTGTTTGTGGTTTTGAATGCTTCTTCAGCAGGGGGTGCCAGGGATGCACACTGGACTGGCACCAACGAAGACGCCAGTGCTGCATCTGTGAAATCGATTTGGGACGCCAAATCGACGTACCTGCGACTAACGGTTGCACAAGCTGTGACTCCACTCTCCACGTTTTGCTTCATGGTTCTTCATGATACGTCCCCCAAACCTTTTCTCCTACCTTTTGCACTGCAGCTGAGCCGCGTCGAAGTTCGCCACTGCAGACATGTCAACAGTTTGTTCAAACAATACAAGTGCGCTGACCCTTTCACCTTGCGTTTCCCTCACCTTCCTTCTCAACGTGGGAATTGAGTTAACAGCAAACCAATGTCAGAGTGTGAGCCGCTCAGCCGTCCCACTTGGGTGCTGGGTGTGATCCTCCACAAGGAGGCGCTGCAATCATTCCGAAATTTGTATTACTGATTCTTCGTTTCCACCACTCGTTGGATTTTCTTAACCGACTTTGTTTCACCTGAAGTGGCAAGGGGGAACGAAGGAGCCCATGCGACCTTTTCCTAGAGCAGTCACTCGAGAGTAAGGTGGCTGTACGGTCAACATCATGAAGTGCCGAACGAATGGGATGAGTTGCAGTTCAACTCACCCCGGTACCTCCCTGGGTTGCCTCAAGACGAAGCGTCTTCACACGGTCTTTGTAGACCTTCTGAGTGGCCCTCTGACGAGCCCTCTGTTCCTGCCATGAGACATCTTCCTGGAGACACCATTCGTTGGACTCTAAAAAGTCTGGGAGGATTCTATTGCCTTTGTCTTTGGTAAGGCTATCGGCTAACTGTTGTGGACCAGGAACCCAACGACACAAAGCCCGATTGGCTTCATTCAACAAAGATTCCTTTATGGCCAACAAATCCAAAGCCGTGCGGCGGTCTTGCGGGAGACTGTCAGTCTGAAGAGTATCAAAAGCCGTTTTGGCATCAAGAACAAGAATCAGTTCCCACAAACGGACAAAATGTCCCCACCGCTTCACTTCAAAATCGCTACACATCACTTCACAAAACAGGTCACGGATGTATTCTCCATGTTCAAAAGCCAAAGAGGCAGCACAGGCTTCAATGGCCATGGAAGACCGCACAACCCGCTTACATGACGTGCTTTGCCATTCGATCAGATTCATGCGAGCACCGCCATCTTTGATGGCAGGGTTTGCTAATCCAACCAACCAACCTTGCTGAGAACGTCCTCCGGGCATCGAGCCATAGGCTCCATCCGAGGAAACCACAAAAATGGCCTCTTCCAAGGGGCAACCCAAATGAACAAACCGTAAGGGAAGCTCTTTCTTGAGAGCTTTAATGATGGTGTTCACTTGCCGAAGGTGTTTCACCTGAGGTTCTGAAAAACTTTGTTGGAGCCAAGATACTAAGAACAACACGTCAGGACGACTTTGTCGTGCTGCCCAACTTAGCTTACCGACAGCGGATTTCAGGTCCGTCACTTGTGCCTCAGTCAAAGGTTGTTGATCAGGAAGGTGAGCGTCGATGATCACCTCTTCCAAGTCAGCACAGTACTCGATCATATTGGTGGTGACCTCTAGAGTGGAAGCGTCCTGCACAATTTGTCTTCCCAAAAACTTGAAGCCGTCGAGCATGGAATTCCAGCTGCCAAAAGTCAAACGAGTCTTGAGTTCTTCCCAGACAGGTTCTGCCAAGTCACTGCCGGCTAGAAGAACATCGTCTACATGAACAGTGGCCATAGCTTCAAGCTTCCCTTTCACATGGAGAACAAAGACACATGGTGCTAAAGACAGTTCCCGAAATCCCAAGGCACACAAATGTTTGCGAAGGCCTAAGTACCACAAGCGAGGGGATTCGTTCAAACCAAAAACGCCCTTCACCACTTTGACGAGATCAGTTCTGTATCCCTTCGGCTTGTCATCAAGATACGACACAACACCTGCTGGCAGCTTTCTGGGCATCCAAATGTAAAGCGGCTTGTCCCGAGGAAGGGGTTCTCCCTGCAAAAAGGCAGCAGTGATGTCTCCACCATATCCCTTCCATTTCTTTCCAACCATGACTATCAGGAGAATGTGATGCCCAAGTAGTTGAGCTGTTGGAGATGACGTGGGATATTTTCCAGCTTGAGGATCTCGATGATCCCCCACACACAACCGTCCCTTGGGCCCAAACAATCGTTGGAGCCACTTTTTGTTCACGATGACAAACCTGCTCTGCAGAGTGGCCTCCTTGGCTATTGGGGTATCCAAGGGGACTGGCTCTACAGCCTGATACTGGAAATGAATGTCCAGAGCCTTGATGAGCGCTGGTACGGTCAACCTTTGTTCTGTCGGGGTCATGTCCTTGAAGTATATTTCTCCACGAGGTCCCGGTTCTGGTCCTGCCCGATTAACCCGCTCAAGCTCGATTTGTTGGCCATCGAACTCTTCAATCATGGCCTTCATGCGCTCACTTTCTGACAGAGATGTCGAAGACTGCAGAGCCCATGCTTCCAAAGCCATCTTGACCTCA